TGGCTCTCGCGGCGCGGCTCGCCGAAGCAGTGCTCGATCCAAAGCCGGGCACTTACCGTACTTTAGAAATGAAAAGGAAGACATTAGAACAAGATTAAATGTATAATCACTTAGACAGTGAAGTTATTGCAATAGGGTATTTCGGAGCAGCCCTGGCCCGGAAGAAGAAGAACAAAAACGGAAGTAATAAATGGCAGTTTTTATGAGAAATATACGCTGCGGATCCTCATCTGCACACGGCAAAACCAACGTCCGGGTTTCCCAGGCGCACCCTGGAAAAACAGGGCATTTTTCCAGGGTGCGCCTGGGAAACCCGGACGTTGGTTTTGCCGTGCAGCGTATATTTCTCATTGAAACTGCCATTTCTAACTTCCGTTTTTGTTCTTCTTCCTCCGGGCCAGGGCTGCTCCGAAATACCCTATTAAAAAAAAACCTATGAGTATCAAAGAACAGACTTTGATTTTAAAAAAATCAAAGAACTTTCAGTAGCGGTTAAGAAAGCATTCTCTTTATGAATGCCAAGAGCAACCAGGACACAAAGTTTTTTGTCTAACTATACAAAAATTTGAGTCTCTAGTAAAATAAAAAGAATCTTGGCATTATGAATCTCTTAAGTTCAATTTTATTTAGTAGATGAGACAATAAAACATACCACCAGCATGGGTTCTTGCCCAAACTTAAGCATTTTTTGTGCATAATCTTCGGTGGTACTCATAGAGGTCTGCCGCAGCCTAATTTAACGGGCGTAGGGAAAACCCACGCAATATCGCCAGTTTAACCGCTGTCGCCACTTTAGTGTTGGACACTAAAAGTGATTGGGATGGGTAAGTGACGACAGTGAGTAGGGGTTCACAGGTTTATTAGGGAGATCCGCACAGACCGAGACTAGGCTACAGACTGTTGGCTGGCTCTGAGGCGCGGTCCAACTTATTGGCTGAGCGATAGCGAAGCCTGTTACTCCATTGGGGTTGAAAAGTTTTTCCTGTCTGTGTGCGTGCGTGTGTGCGTGTGTGTCCGCACTACTCCTCCTGAACGGCTCGGCCGATCTCGGTGAGATTTTGCACACTTTTTGGGCATGTCCTTGGCTCGGCACACGCGAAATTTCACTATCCTAGCTCAACTGGTTCAGTTTTTATAGCCGAAAAACACCTAAAAAACGGCGAAAAATCGAGTTTTCTGCAGGCAGATCACCTCTGCCTTAGGAAGGGGGGGTCTGGGGGGCGGAGCCCCCCAGCATGCATCACGTAAGAAGTAACCGACGATGGACAAGCCATTGCCTGCCGAAGGCAGACTAGCGCCGCAGGCCAAGGTAGGTACGCCAGGCGCGGATTGGAGGAACAGGCAGCGAGACATCGCGAAGCCTGTTACGACAAGACGCGGTCTGGCGTAAACCTACCTTGTATAGTCTGGGCAACAGTCGGGCAGTGGGTTGAAGCAGGAGCGAAGAGGGTTTGTCGAAGTCTTATATACCTTTGTGATGAGGCCTAGATCTTTCTCTTTCACTTGGCTCCTTTTTTCCCAAACACAGGGTCTATCTGTGCATGATAATGCTGAAAAGAGAAGAGAAAAATTAATTCTGAGAATTTAGTTAATTGACCAGTTTTTTGTTTGTTTGTTTCAGAATGCAAGTTCAACAAACTTCTCTGAAGTTACAAGGATATCTGTGTCTGCACAAACAGATCCCATCTGGAGCTATGAATCTGCTGTCAGGAGAAAAGAAGAGAAGTTCAAATATTTCACTGGATTGAACCCTTGCAAATTGGCGTATTATATAATCTGCTTGGTGGTGACAGTGTTTGTCAACAACTCAAGTATGGATATGATGATAACACTCCAATGAAAAATTCAACGTGCATCAAGATCTCTCTGAAAAGCAGTTTATATTTGGTTCTTGTGAGATTAAGGCGAGGCTTTTCCCTAGATGATATAGCTGAATTCATCAATGTCTCATCAACCCTAGCTGATGCCATATTTGGCACTTGGGTACGACTCATCTCCGTTCTGTCTGAAAAGGCTGTCAAAGCCCATGCTGGTGTCTGCACATAAGCAGAATGAAAACAAACCTACATGTTTCCGCCCATTCAAGAATTTAAGGGTTGTGATAGACAGTTCCGAATTCCATATTGGAAGGTCATCCCACATGCAACAGCAAGGGAACAGCTACAGTCAGTACAAAAAAAGACACAACAGGAAAAGTTTGTTTTGCAGTGTCCTGTTATGGTGGTGTTTCCCATGTCAGTGATGTTTATGAGGGAAGAATATCAGACAAGGCGCTTGTTCCACAAATGGGACTTCTTGATGAACTGGAAAAAGGAGACGTTATAATGGCTGACCGAGGGTTCAAGCTTGAGGAAGAATGCATGGAACGAGACTTGATCACGAAACCTATTCGTCCGCTGATCGGGTCCGGCCCGAGTGGAACAGAGCGATCTGGTCCGTGGAACGGGCCCGAGCGCGGAACGGAGGTAATATTGGTCCGCGGACCGGGGCCGAGTGGTAAAGAGTCTGGTGGATCCATTACCGGAGCGGTTCCAGAAGAATGCAACGTGTTCCAAATTCGGATCCGGAACGGAACGGGGAACTCGTGGGTTTTGGAACGGAGATGGCTGTGTTCCGGACCCCTGTTTCATACACAATTTAAATTACTATCGTTGGAATGAGCCCTCACACTACACCGTAAGGAAACCAAACGAGTATCATCCTCTTTCATTAACGTTCGTTGAATGATATTTTTCTATCAGTGCGTCGCCTCACTTTGTTACGTCTACAGTCTGAGCCGCACCCACATGCAGGCTCACTCACACATTCACAGAGTTCAACTATCGTATCGCGACCTTGGCCGGGGACCCACTTCCTCTGCGCGCTGTTCTGGTGCGCCGCTTCCGGTTGGGCACGCCGCGCTAAGGCCTGCCCACACAATGGGGCTAAGATCGGTACTTGCAGTGAGCAAAATCAAGTAAGATAGACTGCTTCTTCCAGTGACCCCCTCCGATTTTTCTGATTTTTTTGTGGCCTGTGGAAGATTCTCAAGCTTAAATGTTAAGCTAGATCCGGCGAAAATTTGCTGACGGAGATATGGCTGGCTTCAATTTAACTTTTGGAGAAGGCGATACAAAAGTGTCTCGCTCAAACAAGGCGAAACAAAATTGTTTCGCTTTTCGAAGGTAAGAAGTATCACCTTTTAAGGTTACTGTAAAGTGAAAAAATGTGAGAAATCATTTTTCAAAATAATTGTGGCATCATGTTTGTATTTAGGTTTCAGATTGCTTACTATAAGATGAACTTAAACCCAAAGTTAAGGCACTCAACTCCCATTATTTTCTGAGTTATTGAAGTTTACGTAACAAATTTAGTCGTTAACTAAAAATTCTCCTTGCGATGAACCAAAAGTTGTCGAGACTTGATTTTTGTTCTACAAGTTCTTTATTGATTTGCCTATCTCGTAGCAAAGCCGGATTTCCAAAATTCCTACATAAAACAGGAATTTTTCTCCAAAAAACACAGAAAAATACCAAAATTTTATCAAATTTAAGTAAAAAACTCAAAACGCATTTTGCAAACAGGGATTACAGCTTATCTATGCATATATTGTCAAATCCGGCTTTGCTAGTCTGTTTGCATGTCCTTTGGGCCTTAAAATAAAAAATCACTCCTCCGTAAACTTTTTGGTTAATCGCAAGGAGAATTTTTAGGAAACGACTAAAATAAAACTAAAACCCTTCCGAAACCACCCCTCCCGAGTTTATAAAGTTTGTCAAACCAACCGTCGTGCTGGTTACAGAATTGAGGAAAACATCTCAAGAGAACCGTAGCCTTTAAAAGCAAGCCAAACAATCCAACCTCAGCAACAATGGAGGGGCAGTTTCAATGCGCGACTACGCGTTTTATCAGCCTCGCGATTTTCGAAAGGGCGTAGACGCCGAGAAAATTGTTACCAACCCCCGAATTAATTTATCGCGTCTTTTCTGCTACGAACTTTTTACTGACAGACTTCAAAGATGTTCCAATGTCGGGACACCGTTCAATGCGTTAGCATTGGCATTTTCGAATTTCACGGCGTTTTGATTTCTTTTTATCAGTGACTTTAAATTTTGACAGTTGGTACGATGGCGCCGTGTCGTTGCCATGGAGACTATTTTATCATGTTTTAACCATTTTCTCAGAACACAGACGATTTATTGTCACTTTGATGAGGTAGGAGGTTTAGTTTTGAGGAGTGGCACATTTTCTCTTTGAAACGTTTCTGGAAAATGTGGACGGATAAGGGTGCTTGATTGTTGCAAATTTATGTTTTAGTCGTTCACGGTAAATTCTCACGATGATTTTTTGAAATTTTCAGGAATTTTTATTTGATTATGATAACGAGTAATTGGCGGGATCCATTTTCCAATCAGAAGATACCGAAAAAAAAAAAGAATCTGAGCCGTCAAAAACAAAAGGGGTCCTCCTTCGTCGGAACCCCTAAAAAACTGAGGCATTGTAAAATCCACGAAGAAATGCTTCCTATTCCGATGCAACATACGAAGCATTTCTACAATGCCTTCATATACTTCTTAGCTACGAATCAAATCAAAAGCGTGTTCCCCTTCCACTGCTGCAAGATCGGCAACATATCGCACTTCGCTCCAATAGCTACGAGGGAGTGTACAAAACAGTTTCGCGTTCATGTTGTTCGACCACACTATGCTCAAAACTATCAGCTTCATCGTGGACAGTCCAAATCGCGACGAAATGTGATTTAAGCGCGACATTTTCCAGTTGCATCACTGGGCGCCTCGGAAGGCGCGCCGGTTCGGGGCGACTGGAAGCGCTCTGCATCGGGCAACTCTGGTCGCTGTTTATTCAGAGAGTCGGTTCGCGGCCGCGCATGACTCAAGCCGCTATTTTCGGAGCCAGTGCCGAGTGCAGTACCGCGCAGTGGGGTGGGGACGGCTCTGTTCGACTTGGCGTGGATTACGAACGCCTCGCCTCCATGCGCGGCGGCTTCAGTATCAGTACACGAGTCGCATTGATCGGACGGCTTCGCTGCGTCTTGATCGGTTTTGGCCATGCAACTTGGTGCGTGCCAAAACATTCTGTAGATTTTTCTGCGATTTCTGTGAGGTAAGTAGTTTGTTAAAGAGTAAACTGCCTAGCACTCAACACAGAAAAAAAGTCTACAAAACATCGCTTCGTAATACGAAGAAAACGAAGGCATTGTAAAATTTACGAAATAATGGTTTTCATTTCGAAGCAAAATCCTTCGTAATGCGAAACAATCCTTCAATGCCTTCATTTCCTTTGTAGTTATGAAGGAAACGCTTCGAAGGCAGACGTCATTTCTGAACCATGATCGCTCTTCCCTTATGTGTAATCCATTTCACGCTCTGAACCGTGCCTGAGGCGCGAGAGATAAAGTAATTATAATATAAAATAATAATTATATTGGGACTTAAAAGCACGATTTTTTGTTTCTGTGAGTTTGTATTTATCTCCCCGTATCTCTCCGTCACTCCATATCTTACTGGTTATCACATCCTGAACTAAGAACTCATCGGCGTTGTCACACTGAATTGAACGAGAGCCTTGTCATAACACCCAGGGAAATGTGTTAGAATTGGGTCATTCCATGCCAAACTCGACAAGGCTTGGACCGACACCTTGTCGGAGGCCATCGCCATAGTGGGCAATTGTTGGCCTTATGGTACCATTTGAAGACCCCAACTCAGTTTTTCGAAATCAGCACTGGGCTCCATGGATCCTTAAGATACCTCATAAGGGCATCATAACTTTATCGTAAGAGTAAGTTATTACCCTTAACTTCTGACATCTTTTCAAAAAGGTTAAGTTATTTTTTTGTGTTTCGAATTTGTGTAGAGATACTTCTGGAAGTACTTCCAAAAGTCCGTTCCCTTAACCTTTAGCGAACATTGTCTTATGTTACGTTATGAAAGCAGTGTTAGTTAAATGTTAAGTTTAGTTAAGGATCCCTGCTGGGCTCCGAACTACGGCCTGTTCACATAAATGACGACATGGGTGCACTAAAATGCAATTATCTCGGCAACCGTTCGTCCTGAGAAAAAATGACGGTAAATCCTGAATAATTTTTTTGCCAAACCTTACCGTGCTTCAAAAACCAGTATCCACCGTACAGTCTACAGTATTCACCGTACTTGTTGTACAAAATATTCCGTAGTTTTTTAACAGTAGTTACCGTTCTTCCGTACAGTACATGCCGAAGAAAGGACCTGATCTGGTCCCAACAAAGGCCGCTTCTAAGAATTGTCCACATCAGGATCTTGAAAAAAGGGGGTCGACCGACTGAAAAGTTTTATAGCACCTTTCTGTAGGTCTCGTCAAGACCTTTTCAACGAGTGGTCGGAAGGGGGGTCCAGGAGTCCGACTTCAGCAGTGACGTACATCAGGATCTTAGAAAAAAGGAGGGTCAACCGACTGATCGCCTAGAAGGGCGTTTTTGACTGAAAATAACGGTTTTCTGAATTCCCAAAATACGCCATCTTACTTTTCGACTATATTGGTATCAAAGGGCCCTAGGGGGGTACTATAACTGCCAGCAAAATATTGGGGACGGCAATCCACAAACACGAGAGATATTGTCAAAAAAACGCTAAAAGTTATCTTTGTGGATCGTCAAAAATTGACTATTTGACACCTATATTGCTCCCGTGAATTAAAATGTTGTCCTAGTGTCTGTCTTAACTCTCTGGAACCATTTCGAGGTGAAGGTCAGCATTACAAGAGTTGAGGCACCACACAGCGAGGAATCGTAGGCCAATATTGGGCAAGAACAAGAAAAACTATTGAAACGCTCATCTTCAACTTTAGATGGAAACGAACCACATTTTTTCTGGACCAATATTAAAACCCAAGGGTCATTTTATGGGCAATTTCATGCTTTTTCAGATGCATTTTACCGCGATAAAAAGTTAAAAACTTTGGCTGCAATCGTTGGCGCAGTGACACCATGTAATTTTGCAGACCATTTTTGCATAGAACACAAAACATCCTAATTCAAAATTTTTTTTTTGGAAATGTTGTAAAAACTTTAATCTTTAAAATGGTGCCTGCCGTTTGCCTCTGGCATTCATACTTATCTTTATATTAACGTCTAAACAGGAGGTTCGAAAATTTTTCCCCCCAAAAACCCCCGGGGCAAAGGCAAAAATGGCCCCCTTTTTTTAAAAGGTTTTGGGGCCCGGGGCCCTGGGGGGTTTTGGGCAAAAAATTTTGGGGCCCCGGCCGCTTGGGGGCCCCGGCCCGGGAAGGCCCCGGGGGCCTTTCCCCCGGTTGGGCCGGGGCCCCGCCGCGGGGGCCCCGGCAGGGGGGCCGGGGGGCCCTTTTTTCCCTGGTTGGTTGGGGGCCCCAGCCGCGGGCCGGGCACGGCCTTGGGCCGGGCGGGCCGGGGCGGGGCCCAGAACGGGGTTTTCCCTTTTCAAAAAGGTTTGGTGGGGGCCCGGGGGCCGGCGTGGCAGGGCGGGCGTGCCTCGGCCCGGCCCCCCGGGCAGGGCCTTTTAAAATTTCCAGGGGAAATACTCCCCAAAGGGAAAATCTAAGCTTTGCCCGGTTTGCCGGGGCCCGAGGGGAATTTTTTGGCGGGCTAAGCTTCGGGTTTTTGGTTGGGGAATTTTCCAAATTTTTGATCGCATTCCCTTTTCCCACTCGTCTTCTGTGTTTTTAACCAAAATGCCCGAAAAACAAATCTCCCGGAAAAACCAAAATCCAAAACAAGTTTTCCGGTTTGGAAAAGGCGGGGGGACCAAACAGGGGAAGTTTTTTTGGGGGTAAGCGGTCGGCGGTTGGGGGACGGGCGATTTTAAAATTTTGCGCTTGGGGTTTTACAAAACCCACCTGGTTAACCAAAATTCGCACCGCAAAAAAAAATTTTTCCCATTTGGGGCCAAAATTTTCAAAAGGTGCCTAAAAAAAGACTTCCTGGGGGGGCCAAATTGGCGGAAAATTTGGCAGAAAACCCGCGCCAGGCCTCCCGTGGGTAGCCGCGAAAAAAATTCAGGTATTTTTGAAATTTTGCGACTTTTTGGGTTTTCGTTAAACCGTTTAAAACAAATGTCGACCTTGGGTTAACGAAAAATGGGCCCCTTTGTCCCTATCTTGGGTTTAAAATACCGCCCACGGGGTTCTTGGGAAAGGAAAGGGCCGGTTTCTGGAAGGCGGCCAGGAGAAACCTGGGAAACCCAAAGGGGTTAATAAGGACACCACATCCGCAGTCAACAATGATGTCATGGTGTTCTTATTGCCAATTTATCCGCAAATGTGCGTGTGCGTTTGCATTTCGTATTGCTTCTGCAATGTTTTGATATTTATTTATTTTCGCAGGTAAAATGGACGAAGTGGAGAAATGTCGTGATTTACCACAAGACGACAGTATTGTCACGGATGCCAAATTTTTATTTGACCTAGGAAATCGCATTATTCAGGAAACAGAACAAAAACTGGAAAACCTGAACAAGAAAAGATTATTAAACCTTAGGAAATCCGAGGAAAGAAAGAATGACAAGCTATTAGATTTTGTCACAGCAACAGAACTAGGAGAAGAATGTGCGCTGAAACTTCAGGACGTGAAAGAGATTCTTCACTTCCTCTTCCCACACAATAAAAAGAGGCCTGACGGCGCAAGTGAAGAAAAGTTATACCTTGATGAACAAAAGAAAGAATGGATCTCCGTCTTTTCCAACGGTCGTGAGATATCTCTTGATGATGCTTCTTTGAAGAGTTCAGAATTCCAAGGTAGACCAGCTCTATTGACATTGGTGAAAGTGAAAGATATTTGGCTGACTCACTACCCTCCACCCTCGGACCCTCCCAAAAAATTGAAAAAGTCAAAAGATAAGAAGGAGGTTCAAGCTGATCAGAAGTATGAAGAAGGTAAAATATTTCTGGCTAATATAATAGACCAGAAAAGGAATAGTTCAGAGAGGATTAAAAACGTAAAACTAGCATTGAACAAGGTGAAAGAGAATACAAGTTTTGATCATGAAAACGTGTTGGTATTGTTGCAATTTCTGGATACATTTGCAGTAGTGGATACATTTCCTCGAATCCGGTCGAATTTCGATTATCTGGTAAGGCACGCGCGGAAGAAATACTTTGAGAGCTTTATGACAGAGAGCCAATACGACCGAATAAGGACAATGCGTAATGACGTATTTAAAGGCCAACGCGATGTTTCTCTTGAACCCGAAGACTTTTTCAATTATTTAGATGACAATACATCGGTAAAAACTTTTTTTACTACTTTGTACAAGTTTACTGAACGCATAGAGGAGAGCAGCGTTCCAGAGGATTGTTCATTGCACCTACGTGAAACACAACGGAGAGGACGTGCAAGGACCTCTTCGTTGCCTGGAAATCTTCTGAGTCGATTTTCAAACAACGTAAAGAGGCTGGTTGACAGTGCGAAAAACGACCAGGATGCCAAAAAAATAAGCAATGAGATCGTATTTGATCTACTTTTAAATGTGTATCCAAAAATGTCACTTGTAGAAAGTAAAAAGGAACCTAATAGTAAACTTGTTACTCTGAGGAATCGTCTCGTGCATGCCCCACACATGGTTCACATGAAAGAAATCAAGGAAAATGTCTCATATGCTTTGCATGCAATCTACAAGTATTCCATTGCTCTTAAGTTCAACCAGTACTTAGAAGAGGCCCCTGCGGAGGCAACCGTCTCATCCACAAAGGAAACACTAGATAATATACTTCAAGAGGTAAACCAAGAATTTGAAACATTCCACATCTACCTTGACGAGATTCAAGGTGAAGGCTTTAATGCCGTAAGAAATGGTTCAATTGCTAGATTTAGAAAGACGCCGGAGGAAGACGAAAATTTTATGGTGTCTCGGTATCTCAAATACATGGCACCAATTTTGGATGCATATTGGGATCATGATGATGATGATAAAAGTGAAAATGAAGACAACTTCAACGAGAGCGACTACTCTTCCAGTGACAATGATGATCAAAAACTTGTGGTGATACCAGGACCAGCAATGAGACGCATTTTCGAAACATTCATAGAATGGGAAAGGGAGAGCGATGACATCGAAAGAGCCAACAAGCTACTAACCATCAAGAATGAACTAAGGCCTTATGTTCGTCATCGTCATTATCAGGAGCAAGATTGTGATAAATGTGGTAACATGGTGACTCAAATATGTGAGAGCAATGATGCTTCTGGAGACTTATCTACAAAGGCGGTGGAAGAAGTGCAATGTGTGCTAAGTGCTTTACGCTCCTTGCGTTCTCTTTGGGGCCTAGAGAAAATTAAGGAAATATCTGATGAAGATTTAGGACTATTGTACGAAGGAGCAATTGGTATTGACTCAGAAAAAAACTTCTTAGACGATCACAATGTACTGCTTCAAAGATTACAAGTAAATGAACCATTACAAAAGAAATCTATTGAAAGTCATCTGAATAATATCCACGATTTGATCAAAGAAGATACGGTACAAGTGTCAATCGGTGATGATCGAATACCTATTAGTATTAAGAGCGCTGTGCGCAACTATCTGAGTGCATTCCACAAAGAATACAAGTTGTTCGGGGTAACTTTCAATTCTTGGGACAATTTGCTTATTGATAAATCGTTCCGAAAGTACGCCAGCTCTATGAATAAGTTCGAAAAAAAATTGGGAAAAATGATATGTGCTCTTCAAGGACATGATACTACAGCCACTTCTATTGTGCAGGAACAATTTGTTGCCCCATTGTTTGCAATGCACGTGCTTATCAGTGAAACCTCTGAATTGCTTGGCTCAAAACTTTGGGAAAAGGCTTTAAAGATAATGTTAACGAAGGGGTCATTTAAATATTGTTTAATTGAAATTTTGAACGAGAAGCCGGAGGCAATTGGCGGTGAACTGTCAAGGCTTATCGTAAACTGTCATTTGAGTGCCGAGAATGTTTACACTGTCCTCAAACACACAAAGACTAAATTCGTAGAGAAATTGCTTATCGAAATCAAAAATTATATTTTGAGGGGAAATGATGAAGGACAGAGGGACGATGAAAGTGTCAACGGACGAAAACATAGTATGACACAGTCTTTCACTGATGTGGTATGTAATAATGTAAATACCGTTTTCCGGGAGTATGTTTTGGATGGGAATCCAGAAAAGGGCTTGGAATTCAACAAGGCATTTGAACAGGGTCTAACAGAATTGGAAGAAGTGGGTATCAGAGAGGAAAGTTTTCTGAGCGCCGAAAGATACCTTATCGAGGCAAAGGCTGAGATTCTGCTAGGGCGGAATGAAACAAGGGAGGCTCATTTCTTAATCAAAACTTCAAAGCCTTCACCTAAAGATTTGGTTTGTCTTGTCGAATCAGCTGAGGCTCATATACAAAAGGTAATGAATATCGTTGACAACAGGATCACGGAAGGTCAATCAACGTGTCATTATATTCTCGGGTTAAGCGACAAGTCATTCTCGTTTTTCTTGTTATATAGAGCGTCCTGTATTTATGAGAAAATATACAAAGTCGAGCCTGATGAGACTAAAATAAAGGAAAGTGCCAAAAACAAAAAACTATTTTTAGAACAAGCATTTGAATTCAGTAAAAAAGCCCTGGATAATTATGAGCAAAATATGGATGGTTTGCAGCCATCTTTAGAAAAAAGTTTGGAGTGTCGAAAATATGTGAACCATCAGCGTCTCATATGTGCAAAGGCAAGAGCACACTACACGTTACTCAGTAACACCCAAATTGCTGAAGCGAATGCTGAGGAACGGGGAGCGGCATTGCGACAAATTATCAACACCTGGAATGAAGTATACCAAGATCAAGAGAGCAACTCCAAAACGTACCTTGAGAAAATGAAGTTGACAGCCGCACTCATGAACAAAGCCCGATCAAATTTTGGTTATGCGTGCTTTTTGCAGAAACAGAAACCACAAAATCACAAGTTGATTTTATCCTATCATTGTCAAACTCTCAAGAACAATATTCTGGCGTTTGAGAACCTAAAGAAATATCAGGGTGCTTTGGTTTTACTTGACAACAACTCATTCAAGTATTTAAAAAAAATCCTTGAATGCCTGGTGAAGTACTTTAAGCCTCTTATCATAAAAGGCATTCCAATGCATTCCAATGAAGATGTTCACGAACTCATCTGCAAGATTGGAAAAGTACTAAACGTGGACATATCCAGGTCAGACATTGAGAAAGCCGATCGATGGAAAACACGGTCCCCTATGATCGAAGTTCAGTTCATAAACTGGTGGAAAAAGGAAGAAATATTAAGTGCAGTACGCTGTAGAAGAGGCATAAAATTATATGAAATCGGTTTCAATAGCACCTGTAACTTTTTCATCAATGAGAAAAAAACTAAAGATGAGCTTGACCTTGAAAATAGATGTAAAAAATTGAAGCAGGCAGGAAAAATTGCCTCGTCAGGGTATCAAGATGACAAGATGTATGTCAAAGTAACAGCTGAGAGTGACAAAAGAGTCATCAGGAATCTCGAAGATTTCCAAACATTAGAAGACGAATTGAACTTTTGGGCGTTTTGTTAGAATTTAAACAAAACAACATATTTTATGAAAATAATTTTTAATAGGAGAGACACTTAGTTACTCAGTACGCACCTTTTTGAAGACAAAAACCGGGCATACTCAAAGAAGTATGCCATAAAATATACTTGACGAGCATGCAGCAAAAAACATTAATGCTAACGTGAAAGTAGATGATACCTATGAGAATTTTATTTAAATGTAAAATCTGTTACGCGCGGAAGAATCAGCAGTTCAACCGAAGTTGAAATTGCGGTGGCACATCTGCAGTAAGCATCTGTGGTTCGTTACTGCTGCTAAATTGCATGTAATGTGTTATCTATTTTACATTGTGCAATGTTGGACATGTACACTGAAATGGACCCAAACTGTCCTTAAACTGCATTTTCACTGCTAGATTCGACTGCAGTTTAAACATTCTGAAATGCACTTCAAACGGTAACTCGTATTCACTTTGTGTTCAAATGCAAGTGATTCTAAGTACAATTTTAAACTGTTTGTCGCTTACACATTAAGAGTAAAGACAAGTGTCTGGGGGCGTGTCTACCCCCCCCCCCCCCCGTTCCATTCGAGCGTGAGGGGTGAATCACTCAGCATTCTGGTGTACACGTGAGTTCACGAGTAATGGTGAGTACACCTCCAAAAACTCTAAAAGGCTTTATTTAGTGTTTCAGATAATTCGCAACACCAAATCTTATATAACACTAGCAAATTTTGCTATTTTTGAGCATGTTAGTAGGCTAAGAACAGGCCTATTTGTACACATGAGTACACCAGTGATTCCCCCTCGTTCGAGCCCCCTAACGAAACGTCCAGATCCGAGGAGTTTGGGGGGGGGGGGGGGGGGGGGGGGTCCTCTCCAGGCCGTCCCGGCGGGCCAGGTAGCGGGGATTCGGGGATACCCGCGCTGCCAGGCTGGGAGTCCGGGAGTATCCACCACAAGAATAAGGGAGAGGGGGGCACATAGTGACACGGGGCTAGTAGTGACAGTTCGTGTTTCGTACTGTTCCCGCGCGATTTCTGCCCTCCAAATTTTTTCATAAGCTTTGTTTCAAGTCCAGAACGATGTTTTGAGAAGGTGGGGGAAGAAGAGAGAGAAGTGGGAGCGAGGGGTGAATGACTCAGCGTTCTGGTGGGTGAATTTCCCTAGTAGGGGCGTTTTAGCCACCTTAGGAAAATACATAATCAATCTTGTTGTTCGGCCTGAATTTTGCCTAGATGGCGTCAATAGGACACCAGGACGACACTGTGAGCGTGGGCGAGCTACAAGTTGACTTTCGTTTTCTCCCCCTATAAAAAATGACGAAAATTTTCGGGAAAAAATGACGGAAATTACGCTCGACGGAAATTACAAAAAATGTTTCTAGCTCACTACAAATGCCCTCGCCCAGAAATATGCTTTAAGTTTGGCACACTAGTCCGACGTCAAGACACGCCCTTTCACGTGTAGGATGACTTTCTTAACCCAAAAGGGAGGGGGGAGAGGGGCATACGGGAAAATTTCACAATTGTTACAACCCACCGTTTTTACACACAACTTTCCCCTCGCCACACAGCCCCTTACTTTTTTGCCCCGGGATTCGTTCATAGGGTAAACAGACCGTGTGATTCTAAATACGGCGGTGGTTTTTAGCAGGGAGCATCCTAGTAGTTTTTTGGTGGTAACTTTGAAACTACTAAGTCAAAAGTCGGAGACGGGGACATTTTGTACGCGTTCTGAAAGGACACTTCCAATCAATATACGATTTAAAATTCAAGCAAATATCAATTTCACGTTAGAGATTTTATGGGTTGTGTGAAATTCGAAAATTAGAATGGAACAAATGGTTACAGAGCCGCAAAGTTGGTGCAAGGGGCGGGAAAGGACATGACGGAATTACAAAATCGAACCCCTTTTTGGGCCCCCTCCCGCGTCACATGTTGGTTCGAAAGTCCTATACAAAGGGAAAAAAGCTAGTTTTGGTGCCAAAAAAGATTTTTAAGTGCATAAAGGGGTGCACTCGAATAAATTTGCCCGGGGAGGGGGTGGACACGAAAAAAAGCCCTCTACGCGCGGAATCACCCTGGGTGCAAATGAGGACAGGGGTACGGGGAGTACCCTTACTTTGCCAAAATTTTGCATTTTGTAAAAGTTTTTTTGGCTTTATTTTGCGTTTTAAAAAGACCAAACGCCCAAAAAAAGGAAAA